AAAATGCTCCTTTTTTTTTTTTTTTTTTTTTTTTTTTTTTTTTTAAAAACTTAAAAAAAATTTATCATTTTTAAATTTAAAAATTTTCCGGAAAAAAAAAAAAAAAAAAAAAAATCTGATAATTTTTACATTTCCTAGGAAAGTGCTAAATAAATGGACACACAATAGAAGAGATGTGTTTTTTCTTTTTTTTTTTGCGATCCCGCACAGTGCCACCTAAGTTTCATGAGTGATAGTAATGGTTGTCATCCCATCGATTGTTCGAGGAACGGGAAAATAAAGTCCAATTTTGTTTTAACAGATTTTCGCGGAATGGTGTTATACACATGTTTGGGAAGCACCTGGCATGTGTGAACATTTTAATATTTTGCTTTTCCTGTTAACTAGGCTGCACAATTACCGAACGATATGTTAGAGTTGCCTCCCTGTGAAGACACCCTAACCAGAAAAGCACCTTTTCCTCGTCTCTCAAAAATTGCCTTAAAAAGGATCCGACGTATTAATATACGTGCAACGCATTTTGCCAATTTCTAATTCCATCGGTTTATCGGCACTGGGGGTTCGGTTTCAATCGTGCTCAGTCTTTCAAATTGCGCCCCCCAAAAGTTTCCTCTATGAAAAACGTATTGCAGTTAAGGGCATTTTCTTTATAACTTTGGCTTTCACGTAATTGTTTTTTTGTCCTAATCGTGTAAGTGGCAGCTACGGAGAAAACCACTCCGCACAGATGTGCACATGCACATGTGTTCTTGAGTACACATTTACGTAAGTATACATGTGCAGCGCCTTATGTGTGACCCTCTATTTGGGAAATGTGAAAGTATGTTCCGCTTTACGCCTACTTGAATTGGCTAGCCAGAACAAAAAAAAAAAAAAAAAAAAAAAAGTCGAACTAGCTAAAAATGAAAAGGAAAATTTGAGACTTTCTCTTCTTCGGACAGTTTATATTTCTTTTTGTTTTTTTTCTTTTTTGATAGATTCCCTTATCCATTTGGCTTCCCCCCCCGTTTGCTTCGCAAAAACTTTTACAAGTGAGCTTTCTTTTTTGCCTAATCGTCTTTTGCCCCCTTCGAAAGGGGGTTAGCCGTTGCCAAAAAATATATATGAGCAGGTAAGGTGAAAATGCGTTCCCCATTAAGTTACTACGTTATTCCGTTATTCGTTACTACATGCTTATGTTTTTCCATTTTCCCGTTTTCCCCTGCGGATGAGCACCCGGGCTTGTCTGGCTCTTCTCCTACCACTTCTCAATCATTCCAAAGGGGACCATTCAGTAATGTCAAAAAATGAGAACAACGGATGCGAGGCACAAATGAAGGGGGGATTCGCTCCGTTCCATGTTTCGTACAAATGAATACTCACCCCGTAAACACATCGACTTCGCAGTTACAGTTCACACAAAATATAATGTGAACCCAATTGCTATTGCGGCCGCCAGGAAGCAAGCAAACCATAAACCCTGAAGGCCCTACGCTACACTGCTTTAATACGTGGCGCACGTTCTTGTATTGGGCTTTCCCTTGGAGTAAGCTGTTGCTGCACGGTCTGAAGGTGAGCAAGCATAGCTGTCTTGGTTCCCCACTCCGCGTATTCCGTATCGAAATGATTGAACGAACATGCGTGCGAAACTGAAATGACCCCTCATGTTCTTGCTAATTATTTAAAAAAAAAGGAGGACACATGTTACCAATTTGCATATTAACAAAAAAAAAAAAAGACGCACAACTGATGTGCCCTATTTACCCAAACAAAGGTTCACCCCTCAGCGAGTTTTAAAAATTAAAATATTTCAAGTTAAGAAAAATGTTCCTCCAAATGGAGTGAATTACATGCGCAAGAACAAATTCCATACAGGAAAATCTGCATTCCTTCACAAACCCTCTTTTGTCTGGTACCATGCACACCTTTGCAACTATTTGGACAGTGTTCGTCTTCTTCACGAAGCATTCTTTCAAAGTCCCCGCATTGGCAACCTCATTAGCAGTCATGGCAGGGCAAAGCATAGGAAAGTATGCGTATTTCTCCCCCCCTCAAATTAAAACCTGCCTTGCGTTCCCGCAATGTGCCTTTGGTATCCTCATAAGTACTATCCAAAATATACGAAAAAGGCTTGAACTGTATTGTATTGCCAAATGGGCGACCTCCACCACAACGTTGCTGTCACCGCTGAATTATGCTTCCGTATTTTCGTTCCACCAAATGACGCTTTAGTATGTTTCTATAAAAATCACAAAGTACAATAACAACGCTGTTCTTTTGTTGTACAAAAAGACCTACGCAAAATGCTCCTTTTTTTTTTTTTTTTTTTTTTTTTTTT